TGAGCTGAGATCCGGCCACTGCACTCCAGCCTGGGCGACAGAGCGAGACTCCGTCTCAAAAAAAAAAAAAAAAGATCATCGTGGTTCATCGCTAAACAGGCTCTCAGACCTTTGTCTCCCAGTGGGAAGCAGGTGGAGGTGATTCGTGCAGAACTTCGGCCTGCAGGAGCAGCTGCATCTCTATGCGGACAAGGAGAGAAAGGCACAGCAACCCAGCTCCATCCATCTTATATCTTACATAGTTCCAAAAATAAGTTGAGGTAGCTTACAAGTTACCCATGATTCCCTTCAGGACATTCCCTATGAGGGCATTCCTGGGAGCTCCAGCTGTAAAATCCAGTAGGATCCATCACAATCCCAGCCTCCTCCTCAGGCCCTCACAGCATAGCATCCAGATGAAGAACCTGGTAAGGTGGAGTGAAGAACTACTGAAAAGCAGCCGCGTTCATCTCCTTTCTTCAAGAGGATCACGATCTTAGGGAGTGTAAATGTCAGGTGTCCATTTTTGTATGTTTTTCTGGAAATGTTTTATATTTGTAAGGTTCCGTAGTTTCCACATAGGCTTATCACGGAAAGAACTCTTGGGACACAAAAGCAAAGCCAAATATAAACTGTCAAGATCTTAAATTTACAGATAAAAGAGGCAAGAGTTGTAAAACAGGAAAATCCACAAGCATCTAGTTTAGTTGTAATTAAGAATTCAGGGCCGGGTGCAGTGGCTCACACCTGTAATCCCGGCACTTTGGGAAGCCAAGGCAGGAGAATGGCTTGAGTCCAAGAGTTTGAGACCAGCCTTGGCAACATAGGGAGACAAAAAAATTTTAAAAATTAGCTGAGCATGGTGGTGCACCTATGGTCCCAGTTACTCAGGAGCTCAGGAGGCTGAGATGGGAGGATCACTTGGGCCCAGAAGGTCAAGGCTGCTGTAAGCCACTATTGTACCACTGCACGCCAGCCTGGGCAACAAAGTGAGACCCTGTCTCAAAAGAAAAAAAAAAAAAAAATTCAGTCAGCCTTCTTCACTCAGCAAACACGCCTATGGAAATGGTCTTCGTATCTCTCTATGGGTTGCTAGCCCTACTTGTTGCCAGTGTTGAACTTTAAGCCAAAAGAAATACATTATACTCATAAGCAATTGAGAACTATTCTTTATTGAGATCCAAGGTATCTCAAAACTAGCAGTCCTGGGAGTTTGCAAGAGTTTCAGGCAAAAAATAAGATGAGCTTATTTAAGTGAAGATAGGGTAGAATAGCTGTCTTATTTTTATTTTTATTTGAGACAGGGTCTTGCTCTGTTGCCTAGGCTGGAGTGCAGTGGTACAATCCCTGGCTCGAGCAATCCTCCCACCTCAGCCTCCCATGCAGCTGGGACCACAGGTATGCGACCACATGCCCAGGTTCTTCTTTTTTTTCTTTGTAGAGATGGGGGTCTCCCTATGTTGCTCAGGCTGGTCTTGAACTCCTGAGCTCAAGCAATTCTCCTGCCTTGATCTCCTAAAGTGCTAAGATTACAAGTGTGAGCCACCACGCCCAGCCTTCACTTGCCTTTCTTTTAAACAAAATTAGTAAAAGGGAACTGAAAGGCAGTTTGAGGTAAGAGGTAAATTTATTTAGTATTTAAAGGGCAAATTCAGCCAGACTTCCTTAAGGTATATTACAAACAAGTCATCCCTGACCTCCACCAACACACAGAGTCACTCACACATAGTATAGTACTATAACATAGCGCACCATGGTTTTTCTTTAGGATATGACTAGAACTCAATGCTATATCTGTGTGTGTGTGTGTTTAATGTATCCAGTACCTCATGCATGAAAGAAACCTGTCATTCCTGAATTCAGGTAAGTGACAACGAAGGCTGTTTAAGCTATTACCCATATCATTGTCTACTACCCCATTAGTAGCTTTTCATTATATAACAGGAAATAGGCTATAAATATATTTCTCCAATCTGATGAGAAATTGGTATCCAGACTATAGCTTATCATGTTAATATCACCAGATACAGTGTGCCAATAAAACAGCTTACATATTTATCTGAACAATACTCTACTGATCTTACCATTTCTCCCATCTTGATCTCTGTCTACCCACTGCCTGGGCCTATAGCTACCAAAAATGACTTACAACTCCTTGTTAATAGCTCTTACATTTCAGAGGCCTTCTGGGAGTAAGCCCTTCAACCCCGTTCCCTGAGACGCCATTGAATGAACCTGAGGCTCCAAGTCTCTGGTGGTTTCATATGTTCCTGGGCACCATGAGGGTTGCACAGAGTCAACACAAACTCAGTAGTAATACCGTTGCAATCTGTTTAATGTGGCAGCACATGAATGTTATCTCTTTTGAATTAAGACTGTATGTACATCTTCAATGCACAGAAACAGTCTCTGAAGTGAGATCACGGAATGCACAATTTGTTTATCAGTAATATTACTAATATGGGGAAGGAAGGCATTAGCAGCCCAGAGAAGAGAAAGGGCACGGGGAAGCCACTCTCTGGAGGGACTCTTAGCACCAAGGTAAAGGCACTAGACCTTCTCTGCCAGCACATACTAATAGTTACCCCAAGCACGAGTGCTTCTATAGTTCTTTTTTATTTTGACAGAGGGTCTTGCTTTGTTGTGCAGGCTGGAGTGCAATGGCTCAGTCATAGCTCACTGTGGCCTCCAACTCCTGGGCTCAAGCAAACTTCTCACATCAGTCTCCCAAGCAGCTAGGACTACAAGCGTGCACCACACACTCAGCTGAATTTTGGGGTTTTGTTTTTTGTAGAGATGGGGTCTGACTTGTCCAGGTTAGTCTTGAACTCCTGGGCTCAAGTGATCCTCTTGCCTCAGCAGCCTGGACAAGACAGTGAGACCCCATCTCTACAAAAAACAAAACTCCAAAACTCAGCTGAGTGTGGTGGGATTACAGGTGTGAGCCACCATGCCCAGCCCCTACCAGTATTGAGGATTTAAACCCACGTGGTTTTTGGCAATATAAGAAAACCTAAATCCTTTAAGATGATCTTTAAGTCACCATATCTAACAAGACTGCATCCTTCCCTTGTCTATAAAATTAATTCCCAGCAAATCCCATTCCAGGTGAAGTTTCATAGGACATTTAAGAAATGTACTAGAAAGCAGTCGGGCACAGTGGCTCACGCCTGTAATCCCAGCACTTTGGGAGGTCAAGGTGGGAGGATCACTTGAGGCCAGGAGTTTGAGACCAGCCTGGCCAACATGGCAAAACCCCATCTCTACTGAAAATACAAAAAGTTAGCCAGGCATGGTGGTGCGAACCTGTAATCCCAGATACTTGGGAGGCTAAGGCGGGAGAATCACTTGAACCTGGGAGGCAGAGGTTGCAGTGAGCCGAGATTACGCCACTACACTCCAGCCTGGGCAACAAAGCACGACTCTTGTCACTCCCACCAGAAAAAAAAAAGTACCAGAAGCAATTAACTGTGCAAACAGGGCCCGGATGATGCTTTGCAACAGGAACTGACAAGTGCTTACAACGTGCCAGGCCCTGTACAAAGCATCTTAGATGATGTGTTTGAGTAATTCCAGAACCGCCCTCACGAGGTAGGTACCAACAGTGCTCCTATTTCCATGGTGAGGATGTGGAGGCAGGGAGGTGGGTGAGGCTCTGCGCCACAGAGCTGGGGCTCTGCATTGTGACCCCTTTGCCATATGCCTCTCAAGGCACTGCTATCATTTCTGTGGACTGTAAAATTGACTGTATTACAACATTGATGTGGACCTAGGGAATTAAAAATAATAAAACCAAGGTCACTGGGAAAAATACTGCTCTGCCAACATCAGCAGGGTTTAGCACTGGCACCAGTGACATGCAGCATACTCTGGAAGGATCCAGTGGAGGAAGACAGAGGGGAAAAGGGAAGGAAACAAATGGGAGAGGAAGAACAGAGATAGAAGATAAAGAACAAGAAGAGAAGGAAAAATATTTTCTTTTATTTTTTTAGACAGAGTCTAGCTCTGTCTCCCAGGTTGGAGTGTAGCAGCATGATCCTAGCTTACTACAGCCTCTGACTCTTGGGTTCAAGCAATTCTCGTGCCTCAGCCTCCCAAGCAGCTGGGATTATAGGTGCGTACCACCACACCCAGCTAATTTTTGTATTTTTGGTAGAGACAGGATTTTACCATGTTGGTCAAGCTGGTCTTGAACTCCGGACCTCAAGTGATCCGCCCACGTAGGCCTCCCAAAGTGCTGGGATTATGGGCATGAGCCACCACCACGCCCAGCCAGAAGAGGAGGAAAAAAAACATTAGGTTGGTGCAAAAGTAATTGTGGTTTTTACCAACCTAATGTTTTAGGAAAAAGAAAGTCTAGGTCAGACATGGCGGCTCATGCCTATAATCCCAGCTACTTGGGAGGCTGAGGCAGGAGAATCGCTTGAACCCAGGAGATGGAGATTGCAGTGAGCCGAGATTGCGCCACTGTACTCCAGCCTGGGTGACAGAGACACCGTCTCAAAAAAAAAAAAAGAAAAGAAAAAAAGAAAAAAAAGAAAGTCTGTAGGGAAGGGTAGAGCCCAGGCATTTAGAAGAAACTCAATGAATACTTGCTGCACCAACAGAATAGAGGCTCACCTAAGGCTGGTGCTGTATGACCATCCTTCTTGAGAACTCTAAACATAGAGTGCTAAAGCTGTGACAGAAATGGGAATTCCAAGGAAGTTCAGGCAAAAACTTGTATAAGCAATACTTCCTCAGGGTAGAAAAACAAAATTCAACAACATAGAAAGGTATAAGATAAAAAGGTAAGTCATTAGCTTCCAACCCGACCCTCTCAGGAGGTCCCCTGAATTGTGTGTCCTCTCAGAAATACACAAGCATGCATACATTTCCCTCTAAACACAGCAGTATCATAAAGGGCACACTGCAACTTGCGTCTTCAGCCCAAGGGTCTACCTGACAAATGAGCTCACAAAGGATGGCAGAGACCTGTGGCACAGTCTGTTAAGGCTGTAATTCATATTGCAACACCAAGATGGCAAAATTATTTCCTTTTATTCTGTGGAACGTCACTAAAGTAAATAGACATGTGCATGATTTAAGTTAATTTATACATGATGAGAATTAAGGCTGACAATGACTTCCGGGGAAACTCCTACTATTATTTTCTGGGCAGGGGCTGACTTCTCTTGGCTTCCTTATGCTTCCTAACTCCCAGTGGGCCTGAATAGACACTGGCCAGACTTTCAAAGTAGCTTCTTGAAGATGGATGAGGATCTGGAAGGAAAAACAAACAAGAAATAATGTTTTCTCTAAGCACTGAAATGTTTCCTGTTCCTTCCATACTGCACCATTACCCACTCACATTGCCAAAGTTGTTAACATTTACATCCTTTCCCACCACCAGCTCTTCTAGGACATGTCCATAAATGGACTTGAATAGTGTTCTAGCATCAAACTACAGTTTGCTTCTACTTCGACCTTAAATTTCTCAAATAATGCAAGAGCTTTTGTTTTGTACTATGACCATTTGATATCCTTGTCTTTTCCAGCTTTTTCTAGTTTTTCTCAGGTGCTTCCCCATCCTGTTCCACACTGGATTTGTAACTCTAGGTCATTTGCATGCTTATCAGAATGCCCCTTCACTAATGTGCAAATGAGGCTTCAGTTTCCCAAAACTCATGTCTCCTTTTTTTCTTGGTTAATTCCTCATTTTGCTAAGTACATTGCTAAATAACTTCTTAGGAAGAGATGTGGGGCGGCAAACCCTCGCATGTCTGAAAACATCCAGATAGATTCGGTTAGGTGTGAGCACATGTTGAAAGTCATCTTCCCTGTGACCTTACAGGACACTCCTCCATTGTCTAAAAGCTTCTTATTGCCAATAAGACGGGTGTTAAGTCTAGTTCTCATTTTTTTCATAGGCAAGCCACTTTTTTATTCTCTGGAGAAAGATGATGGGATTTTCATGTTTGACATTTTTGAAATTTCAACAGGACGTGTCTAGGAATGTAAGTGCACACTGCAGCTTGCTTCTTCAGCCCCAAGGACCTGCCTAAGGAGAGACACGTCCTGTTGAAATTTCAAAAATATCAAACAATGCAACGTCACTCACTGTAGTCGGTACTCAGGGCCCTTTCACCTAAGGCCCTAAGAACTTCCAGATTGGTCCTGTTTCCTTCTCTTTTCTATTATACTTCCTAAGACATTTACTAACTCTTGCCTTCTAACTCCCTATTCAGAGTATATAGACCATCAGCTGTTCCTGACCTGCAATGTGTCATCAACTCTGAACCCCAAGCCTCCTGGGGCTTCAGCAGAGGGAGTCTAATGCCTCCTGTAGTTTCCTCTGTAGTTTATTGGACAGCAGTTTTCTCCCCTACACTGTCAACCTGTGACAAGCCATGCTGCACTTCTTCCAAAAATGTGTTGAAATATAAATATTTCAACTCATTGGTTATTGCCAACTCTTATTCCTATCCCCTCTCCCCTCAGGGAAGTCTGAAAAGAAATGTTTTGAAAGCATTAGAATGTGATTTTTTGTAGCGTCAGTTTGAGCTCTATAATTCATAAATAAGCTACATAAGGAAAAAAGCAAAATTCTTACCCAGTAACAACTTACCTGTTTAGAATAATCCATTCACCTGTTCTGTTTCAGGGTCCAAATCAATATCATAAAAACAGGGCCGGGTGGGGAGTCCAGGCATTGTGCTCATCTAGGATGTAAAAAACCATTACAAATAAACTAAAGCTGGGCACAGTGGCTCACGCCTGTAATACCAGGTTGAGGTGAGGATCACTTGAGGCCAGGAGTTCTAAACCACCCTGGGCAACATAGTGAGACCCCCACCTCTACAGAAAATAAAAAATTAGCTGGGTATGATGGCATGTGCCTGTAGTTCCAGCTACTTGGGATGCTAAGGCAGAAGGACTGCTTGAGGCTAGGAGTTTGAGGCCACAGTAAGCCATGATCATCCCACTGCCTGGGCGACAGAGCGAGGCCATGTCTAAAATAAACGTAAAGTCATCTTTACTTTCACTTTTCCTTCAGAAAGAAAGCCCAAGGCACAAAGATAGAACATCATTTTATAGTTGTCAATAAAGTGGGTACTCTTCTTGTTACATATTAAAAATCAAGTCACTAATCCTGTTAAAAAACTCAGACTTAGAAACTGATCCCAGGCAGGCGTGGTGGCTCATGCCTATAATCCCAGCACTTTGGGAGGCCGAGGCAGGTGGATCACCCAAGTTCAGGAATTCAAGACCAGCCTGACCAACATGGTGAAATCCGGTCTCTACTAAAAATACAAAAATTAGCTGGGCATGGTGGCGTGTGCCTGTAATCCCAGCTACTCGGGAGGCTGAGGCAGGAGAGTTGTTTGAACCTGGGAGGCAGAGGTTGCCGTGAGCTGAGATTGCGCCACTGCACTCCATGCACTCCAGCCTGGGTGACAGAGCGAGACTCCATCTCAAAAAAAAAAAAAAAAAAAAGAAACTGATTCCTCATGTCCTTCTGCAAACCAAATGCCAGCCTTCGCGGTCATCTTCCATGTGGTCACAAGCAGTAGCAGGAGGTGTTTCCACCTTCACCTTACACGCATGAGTGCTGGGAAGTGCAGGAGTTGCTCACTCACCTCCTCAGCTCACACTTTGCAAGACCAAAAGGAGGTGCGGGGCTTGTCTGCTTTTTTTTTTTTTTTTGAGACGGAGTCTCACTCTGTCACCCAGGCTGGAGTGCAGTGGCCGGATCTCAGCTCACTGCAAGCTCCGCCTCCCGGGTTCACGCCATTCTCTGGCCTCAGCCTCCCGAGTAGCTGGGACTACAGGCGCCCACCACCGCGCCCGGCTACTTTTTTTTTGTATTTTTTAGTAGAGACGGGGTTTCACCGTGTTAGCCAGGATGGTCTCGATCTCCTGACCTCGTGATCCGCCCGTCTCGGCCTCCCAAAGTGCTGGGATTACAGGCTTGAGCCACCGCGCCCGGCCGCTTGTCTGCTTTTAAATTTTGTTTTATTCAGTCTTGCTAGCTGAGCTGCCCATGTGATTTTTGCTTCAGCAACACGACGGTAGGAGTTAGTATCCTTTAACTTGGGCCAAGACACTTTTGTACATAATCTAGACGGTTTTATAATCACTATTCTTACTGGCCCAAAATGGCCTTCTAAAACTAAACTTGTAATGCTTACAAATTATATTTGTACTCACTGCTTTTCTAAAGACTCAGCTTTGACAAATTTCTACTTAGATGCAAATATGTATGGCTTGCAAGTGAAAACTCAGTATATTTTTATCTGTAACAATGTCCTATATAATGAATACACACAAATTCCAAATTAAATCTAGACAGGAAAACAGCTTAGGTTACTTCTAAAACTTAACTATAAAAAGGTTATTAAAAAAGAATGAGTCATCTTCTGTAACACAAAACATCATCAATACTTTAGAAAACCTCATTCTGACTGACTTCTGAGTACCAGTCAATATTCCCCAAAACATTATAGGGATCTGACAACTGGTTTATATTCTCATATCGTGTAAGAGGTAAGGAGGTGCTAGGTGTGAGACAAGTAGGAGAAAGGAAAGGATGGGTCCTTAGACCTAGCAGAAAAACCAGAAGATGACATTATAAAGATAAAAGACACATGCCCATTGTTGTAGACATACATGTACATGTCAGCAGAAAACCCTAAAGATGGTTCCACAAACAGCGATGAGTAGGATTTTTGATATTTTCACTTGTTCCTCAAGAGGATTTTCCCTCCTAAACACTGGTCACTGATAATCAGAAAATACACAAAAAAAGAAAATATTATGTGTACACACATGTATGAACTTAGATATAAAGTTCTGAAAAGAAGCCATCACACTTTGAATTAATATAGAAAATATTCAAATAATCTGAGTCCTGTTAAGGCCCCAACGGCAACTGGAAGGTGTTAGAATAGTGATTAAACCATTTGATCATGTGTGGAAACATCTTGGTCCAACTTAAAGTTGAAGGCCTCTGACGCATACTTTGTTCTAAATGAGAAAGTCTTGAGTTGGGCAGGCTGTGTCTCTCTCCACCTTACAGCCTGACTCTTACTGGCCTGACTGCTTCCAGATTTGCTTTCACCTCTACTGTTATCCTTCTCTTCATGTGAAGATCAAAAGTGACAAGAAAGAGTACAGCTACCCCTCTTTCAGCTGGTAGTTGCTGACAACTTCTCCAAAAAGAACACCACATATTTCTTCAGTATTCAAGGTGCTGGGAAAAAATGGTGGAACATTCCTACCAAAGGGGATTTCTACAAATCCTGGAGACTGATGTACATCATAGCAAAGCTAAGCCTCCTGCTCTCTAGAGGGCTAAGGAGGCAGTGAGATGCAGGCATTTGTGCTAAGCACCAGTGATGTGATGATGTTGCCCTACAGTGTGAACTGAGGGCAGCAGGGCTCTCACCTTTCATAATTTGCCCAAGGCCAAGATCTGGAGGTGAAAATGGATTCAGCTCTAATGTCCTATGTTTTCAACTCTATAATGCCACCTCCTACCACTTTCTTACCATACAAAAAGAATGACATAAATCTAAAAGGAGATATGTTGGTTTCTTTTCCATGTGTGTTGGTTTAGTTTAATATTTCAATCCTATATTGCATGGCAGTATAATCTGTAGATATAGGATACGGGGCAGATTTAGGGGATAACCTAGATTCAGGATCCATGCTAACCTTGGAACAATGTCAGCCCAAACTATGATTCTGTCCTTAAGCATCCCTCCCCTCTGCTTCCCAATTGGCAATATTCTTCCTTGAATATGCATAAAATCTGTAAGATAAGAAAGCACTGGATACCTCGTTCACCTTGAAGTGTAAATAAGCAACCTCACCTTTCATATCTCAAGGGTCCCATTTGCATTTTTTAATGGGGAAATTCCTTACTCAAAAATAATAAACCCGCTGAATTTCAGGCATAAGTTCTAGGCCTGTCAGCAAGACCCTGGGGGCATAAAACCTCTGTCCCTACCTCCTAGGGCTGTTGGGGGACTGAGTTAATCTATGTAAGGCTCCCAATAAACATTAACTGTGATTATGTTAGCACTACCCCAGCCTATCAACTGGGATCATCCTAGATTCAGTGAAGGGCATACTGCCCCTGGGAAACAGAATTTTTTATTCAGTATGAGTAGTCATGGCATCATTCTTGAACTGACACCAAGATGGTCCACAGCAAGAGCTATATAGGTCCTGCTTTATAGCTTATGATCCACAGCAATCATAATAGGCGTGATTCCAACTTTCTTCTGGGCAGCGAACTCTGCTCACTTGGCATTTGCTTGATGGTTTCAGCAACACACTTCAGACAAGAAGTGCAGATGCGCCCGCTCCTCCCTTGCAGCACACACTTACCGTTCCTACTAAGGGGTACAGAAAACCAGCCCCGACGCTGGCGCGGATGTCGCGAATGGGCAGAACGAAGCCTGTAGGGACACCTTTTTGCTCTGGGTTGTGAGACAAAGACAAGTGTGTTTTAGCCATGCAGATGGGGAGATTCCCAAAGCCCTGGGGAAAGAAGGGAAGACAAATGAAAAGATGATAACACAGCAGTGACCATCTGGGCCCTGTGATTACATGGATTCTTCCTTCCATTTATTTGAAACATCCAACTCCCTTTATATACATCTCTACCTTGCTGTCCTCCAGCTTATTTATTATGCCAAAAAACAAAAAAAAGAACTCTGTTGAGTGAGGGAGTTATGTACTCACAACTGTAGTCCACAAGTGAATATTTTATTTCCATCTATGGAAATAACATAAAACCAATTTAAAATAACAGTTTGGAGTAGATATGAGAATAAAATTGGAGAGGGTCAGGTGCAGTGGCTCATGACTGTAAATTCCAGCACTTTGGGAGACTGAGACGGGTGGACTGCTTGAGCCTAGGAGTTCGAGACCAGCCTGGGCAACATGGCGAAACTCCATCCCTACAAAAAACACAAAAATTAGCCAGGTGTGGTGGTGCGTGCCTGTAGGCCCAGCTACTCAGGAGGCTGAGGTGGGAGGATTGCTTGAGCCTAGGAGTCAGAGGCTGCAGTGAGCTGAAATTGTACCACTGCACTCTAGCCTGGGCAATGGAGCCAGACCTTGTCTCAAACAAAAAAACAAAAACTGGAGACATTCTCAATATTTTGGTAAGACATTCTGTATTTCCTCATGGATTTCTACACATTCATATACCGCCTATGGGTAAATAAAGAACCAGGGACTGTGCCGCCTAATCCAAACCCAGAATTTCAGAGGAGAGAAGGCTGCCACCCACAGAAGTGAAGCAATGGGTACTTGCCAGGGTTGGGAGGACCCAGAGATTGTGACTCCAGGCCTGCTTTGCAAAGAGTTGAAAGGACAAACTAACCAAAAATCTACCTGCTTTGTGTAGACTTCAGCTTTGTGTTGAGCTTCGGGGAGTAATTCAATGTCATCTGCTCCATAGATCTTCTGTGCAATGATCCTGATTTTATCCTCGACTGGGAGCTAAAGCACAAGAAAGAGATGGTGACACCATGACTGGACACATGTGAGGACATTTAACCAGGACATAGCCACATTCTAGGTCAGAGTCCCTAAAAGGGGCAGAAGATGGTTTTTATATAAATATATATATATGCAAATAGTTTGAGGTTGATTGGGTTAAGAACACTTTCTCTTTCCTTTTTTTTTTTTTTGAGATGCAATTCCAGCCAGGCTGGAGTGCAATGGCACGATCTCAGTTCACTGCAACCTCTGCCTCCCGGGTTCAAGCGATTCGCCTGCCTCAGCCTCCCGAGTAGCTGGTATTACTGGCATGCACCACCAAGCCCAGCTAATTTTGTATTTTTAGTAGAGACAGAGTTTCTCCATGTTGGTCAGGCTGGTCTCGAACTCCCAACCTCAGGTGATCTGCCCGCCTTGGCGTCTCAAAGTGCTGGGATTATAGGTGTGAGCCACCTTGCCCAGCCAGGAACACTTTCTTTTAATATCAAGCCTCAGATTTTATAAGTGAAAATGTCCCACAGAGGTAAAGGTTTTATATCTATATATGCATATATATATATACACATACATGTATTTTATATATATAGATATAGATACACACATGCATTAATATATATTAAGGTTTTATGTAAGTACATATTTAAAATCTCTTGCTAAGTACATCATAAACAGTATTGCTGACTACCTAAGAATAATTATTTCTTCATAAATAAAAAGTAGATGTTCAGGCTGGGTATGGTGGCTCATCCCTATAATCCCAGCACTTTGGGAGGAGGCCAAGGCAGGAGGATCACTTGAGCCTAGGAGTTTGAAACCAGCCTGGGCAACATGGCAACACTCTGTCTCTTTAAAAAATAAAAATTTTTAAATAATAAAAATTAAAAAGTAGGTGTTCTAATACTGGAGATCAGTCCTGTCAAACCAGATCTGGGGACACTGTTTATGAAATAAGACAACCAATGTCCATCTACATAATTCCCAGTTTGTATATGAGAGGCAGATGCTACCCTTAACACAATTGATTAAGTGCAAACACCAGGAATTAGGAAATAATCATAAAAGCAAAATCACCTAGGTATTGGAAAAAACAACCCAGTGATTTACATGATCAACACGCATTGGGTGTGTCCACTTTCTGTGGCACCTGAAGCAAACAGTGCAGTGGACAGAGACCAATGGTCTGGCTGGTGAGGGCTCAGTCCCATGAGCTGTTTCCTCTGGGGCAAAGCCTTCAGAGAAGTGGAGCTGGTTTCTTAAATGCTGTGTAGACTAGTTCAGGGCATTAAGATTCAGAGAGAACAGCATAGGGAGAGGTTGCCTAAAGGAAATGAGAAGGAAAGCTACTCATGGGTAATTTGGATGAGCAAATTACAAAAATTAGGCAATATATCTGGCTTTATACTCCCTAGCAACTAAAGCTAAAAGAACATATTAGGCAAGTTTTTATTTATTTATTTATTTATTTATTTGAGACAGAGTTTTGCACTCGTTGCCCAGGCTGGAGTGAAATGGCGTCATCTCAGCTCACTGCAAGCTCTGCCTCCCGGGTTCAAGCGATTCTCCTGCCTCAGCTTCCCAAGTAGCTGGGATCACAGGCGTGTGCTACCATGCTTGGCTAATTTTATATTTTTAGTAGAGACGGAGTTTCACCATTTTGGTCAGGCTGGTCTCGAACTCCTGACCTTAGGTGATCCACTGCCTCAGCCTCCCAAAGTGCTGGGATTACAGGCGTGACCACGGCGCCCAGCCAAGTTTTGTTTTTAAAAGGAGCAATAATCTATATCTATAAAAACAAAAATTCCCTTTTGAACTAAATAGTGATAATTTATGAAGGGGCTTTGTATAATGGACATGAATAAAGTGAATCTTCAATAAGGACTTTATAAAGATGAAACAGATTATTTTCATATGCATCTCATAACTGGAGCTCTATAAATGCCAAGGCACATTTAGAACTTCTGAAGCAAAAGCACTTTGGTTGAAGGGTGATTTAAGACTAGCAGACGCTGAGTAAGACAAAAAGTGGCAGCCTCCTGTTTGCCAGAATGGATAAAAGTTGCAAGTAGAAATGGGTTCTAAAGTCCATATGTCCCTGCTCTTCCAGGTCTCCTGCTGGTTTTCAAGGACTGGGTTTCCAGTCTTGGGTGCTATGCATGGGAGCGTGGAGAGGGTGCCTATAAATGCTTTGCATTTGTGTACAAATTTGGGTTTATGGCATTTTTCTAAAAAGATGATTGCTGAACAGATTTTAAAACTTGTCTATAAAACCAAAGCTCAACAGGAGAATATCAATGTCAATGTTAATTAACTGTAAGTGTATTATATCTGCAAGAAGCAAAGAGAAATAAGAGAACACTAAAACTCAAGAGTAATAAGTTTATTCAGGGCTATTTTTGAAAGTCTATGATTATCTATTAAAAACCAAGCCAGGCCAGGCACAGTGGCTCATGCCTATAATCCCAGCACTTTGGGAGGCTGAGGCAAGAGGATCACTTAAGCCCAGGAGTTCAAGACCAGCCTGAGCAATATAGGGAGACCCAGTCACTACAAGAAAAATAAAATAAAACAAACTTTTTTTTTTTGGGACGAAGTTTTGCACTTGTTGCCCAGGCTAGAGTGCGTGCAGTGGTGCGATCTCAGCTCATTGCAACCTCCACCTCCCAGGTTCAAGCGATTCTCCTGCCTCAACCTTCCAGCCCCAGCTAATTTTTTTTATTTTTAGTAGAGATGGGGTTTCACCATGTTGGCCAGGCTGGTCTCCAAATCCTGAACTTAGGTGATCCACCCGCCTCAGCCTCCCAAAGTGCTGGGATTACAGGGGTGAGCCACTGCGCCCGGCCAATAAAACAAATTAGCCAGGCTTGGTAGTACATGTCTGTGGTCCCACCTACTCAGGAGGCTGAGGTGGGAGGACCACTTGGGCCCAGGAGGTTGAGGCTGCAGTGTGCCATGATTGTACCACAGCACTCCAGCCTGAGCAACAGAGCAAGACGCTGTCTTAAAACAAAAAACAAACACACAAAAAAACCAAGCCAAAAACTAGTCTAGAGAATAGGAAAATTAACTACAGCATATATCTCATATTCCTAACAAAGTTTCCAATTGTTTTTTCCATACTACTTAATGTCAAATCACATCCTGAAATACATTGGACAGATAAATGAAAACAAAACACAACCCTATAATAAGAACAACCTTTTCCTGAATTAACTTTATTGTATCATAGAGTAAACAGGGCTCTACTTAGACCAGGTGTAATTTAATTTGCTTAGTGATGGAAAAAATGATGAAGCTTCCTGAAGTACTTTGGTTTTGCATGTAAGGGCCCTGAAATTGAGGCAGCACCTTACTGGGAAGTGAGCCTGGGGGCCCACTTCTTTCCCCCTTTACTGAAAAGCCATCAGAAAAATTTTGTAAGCTCGATGCAGCCCCTTACCAATCTGCCACATGGTTGGTGCCTTGTGTTAAAGGCTACAGTGAATTACATATTTGGTCTATACGTAACCTTCTCTTCTGCCACCTGTACTTTGACCCTTTTCAAAGTTAGGATATGAGCAACGGTTCCCCCGCCACCCTGGGGTATTCCTGCTTAAATCCTCTCTGTAAGTGAGCAATGGCATATGTTTATAAGAAGGCTGTCTGGGCGGACGCAGTGGCTCACGCCTGTAATCCCAGCACTTTGGGAGGCTGAGGTGGGTGGATCACGAGGTCAGGAGTTCGAGACCAGCCTGGCCAAGATGGTGAAACCCCGTTTCTACTAAAAAAATTAAAAAATTAGCCGGGCACGGTGGCAGACGCCGGTAATCCCACCTACTCGGGAGGCTGAGGCAGGAGAATCACTTGAACCCAGGAGGCAGAAGTTGCAGTGAGCTGAGATCATGCCTCTGTACTCTAGCCTGGGCAAAAGAGCAAGACTCTGTCTCAGAAATAAAAAGAAGGCTGCCTACAGGTCGTAGTCCAGGTTGTGGTTGGGTAACTCACCTATGTGGGAATCAAACCACAAGGCTGAAGCTGCGAAGCATGGGGCTCTAATAGAAGTAGCCACACAGAAACTTCACTGTGCCCTTTTCGTCTTTTTTCTTTTTTTTGCAAACAGCAAATCACCCACCTTGAGGTCATAAAGGAGCTGGAAGCTGCTGGGTGCTTGTGCTGCTCTCTGGACGGCCTGAGCCAGGGCTAAGGCACCCTTGCCCCCTTCTGCCCAGTGAGTGCACTTCACGGCATCAAAAGCCCCATGTTCTCTGGAAAGGCGGCTGATGAGGTCCAGCTCAGCCTCTGTGTCTGTCCTGTAAAGGAAGCACTTCATATGAAAGCACGGAAAATAGTTGGAGAGACAGAGTCTGTCTTCTTTTTGCCATTAAACCTCATGTGAATCACCCACTGATAAACAAACATTAACTAAGAAATTCAGCCTGGGTTTGAATCTCAGGTCTGAAACTTACGAGCTGGTGACTTTTGGCCAGTTACCTAAGCTTTATGTGCTTCAATTTCCACCTGGGTAATATGAGAATAATCACAGCACTTATTTCATTGGGACATCATGAGACTCAGATGGTAAATTCATGTAAAGTACTTGGAAAATTCCCAGCACTCCACAAGGAATCAGTAAATACTAGCTTTTAAGAATTCTGCTGGCTGGGCGCGGTGGCTTATGCCTGTAATCCCAGCACTTTGGGAGCCTGAGGTGGGAGGATCACGAGGTCAGGAGATCGAGACCATCCTGGCTAACACGGTGAAACCCCATCTCTACTAAAAATGCAAAAAATTAGCCAGGCGTGGTGGCAGGCGCCTGTAGTCCCAGCTACTTGGGAGGCTGAAGCAGGAGAATGGCGTGAACTTGGGAGGCGGAGCTTGCAGTGAGCGGAGATCGCACCACTGCACTCCAGCCTGGGCGATAGAGAGAGACTCGGTCTCAAAAAAAAAGAAGAATTTTGCTTCCCATTCTACTGTGGTGAGGCCATTATAACAAAACCCTGACCACCAGTGCAATACCTAAACAACCCACACAAGTTCTTGCATGACCCCTTCCAGTGTAATATGCCCAATTCTTTGTCAAGACAACATCCCACCAGATCAGTAAAATAATGGAACACTATAGGCCTATGACCTTCTGTTAGCATAAAAGGCCTCTAAAGTTGAAAAAGGAACACCGAACTTCAGGCTTGTGTGTTACTTCCCCCAGTGGAAAGAAAAAGGGCCCACAGGAGCTGAATCTGACTTTGGGACCCTCGGTGGGTGAGGTGGTGAGCCTGCTGTGACGTACGCAGTGCCTGTCATGGTGCTGGCTAAAACCACAGGCTATAATAGCAGTAACTGAAAAACAAAATAAAGCTAAAAGCAGTGCTGTACAATCAGCTCCAGAAGATTTTCCACATTCATCCTTTTCTCTTACACTCTACACTTACTTGAATGCATTCACGGCCACTACTACTGGAATTCCAAACATTCTGGCATTTTCAATTTGTTTCTTCAAGTTACTGAAGCCTTTTTCAACCAGCTCCAGGTTCTATAAAAACAACAGTGAAAGGTCTACGAGATCAGAGAGTTGAAAACCACTGCAGGTTCTTCTTCAAAGGCAAACAACCTCCTTGAGCCAGCAGCCACTCACTGTCAGGACAAGGAGGCCAAGAAAGAAGAGAAGGTCCCTTGGTGCATTTCTTCCAGTGCTGTGAGTGGATGCTATGGAGGACTGCAGCTTTCACTCCAGCCTATGACACTAGAGTGGAGCTCTGCTTGTTTCCCAGCCTTCGAGAAAAAAAGTGCTGGTATATTTGCTGTCATTATGCCATGACATTATAGCTTATTTGCTGTTTGAAAGAAGTTAGTTACCCTTACCCAAATTATATTTACAAATTGTGTTTTTAGATTTTATGTATTCGTAGGGGTATGATAATACAAATTGACTCTACTCGGCACAGCACAGACCCTTCCATCAGAAGACAGAGTCTAACAACATAGTGGCTGGCACAGACGAGGTACTCGTTACATGGCTGCCGTAAATACTGCCAGGAAATATGAAGTAAGCAGCGATGTTTTCAAAGGTTTTCATGAACTCGGCTGTGAATGAGGGCAAGAAATAAGATAAATACTGTCTTTAGGAATCAGGCCAGTGGCTGGGCCCAGTGGCTCACACTTGTAATCCCAGGACTTTGGGAGGCCAAGGCAAGAGAATCCACTTGAGCCCAGGAGTTTGAGACGAGCCTAAGAAACATAACAAGACCCCGTCTCCACAACTGAAAAGTTAATTAAAAAAAAAAAAAAAAAGGCCGGGTCTGGTGGGGTGGCTCACACCTGTCATCCCAGCACTTTGAGGGGGATGAAGTGGGTGGATCACAAGGTCCAGAGATTAAGACTATACTGGCCAACACTGTGAAACCACGTATCTACTAAAAATATAAACATTAGCTAGGTGTGGTGGTGGGCACCTCTAATCCCAGCTACTTGGGAGGCTGAGGGAGGAGAATCACTTGAACCCCAGAGGCGGAGGTTGCAGTGAGCCGAGATTACACCACTGCACTCCAGCCTGGTGAAAGAGCAAGACTCCATCTCAAAAAAAAAAAAAAAAAACCGAGCTGGATGTGGTAGCTCACACCTGTAATCCCAGTACTTTGGCAGGCTGAGATTGGAGGATCACTTGCGCCCAGGTGTTCGACACCAGCCTGTCTGGGCAACATAGGGAGACCCTGTCTCTACGAAAAATTAAAAAACTAGCCTGGTGTGGTGGCATGTTCCTGTTCTTCCAGCTAGATGGGAGGCTGAAGCAGGAAGACTGCTTGAGCCCAAGAGTTAGAGGCTGCAGCTATGATCACGCCTCTGCACTCCAGCCTAGGTGACAGAGTGAGACCCTGTCTGTCAAAAAAAACCAAAAACCAGCCAGGCGCGGCAGCTCACGCGGTCAGGAGATCGAGACCATCCTGGCTAACATGGTGAAGCCCTGTTTCTAATAAAAATACAAAAAAATTAGCCGGACGTGGTGGCAGACACCTGTAGTCCCAGCTACTTGGGAGGCTGAGGCAGGAGAATGGCATGAACCCGGGAGGTGGAGCTTGCAGTGAGCCGAGATGGCACCACTGCACTCCAGTCTGGGTGACACAGCGAGACTCCATCTCAAAAAACAAACAAACAAACAAACAAACAAACAAAAAAACCCCAAGTACTACAAACTAAAGGGAAGCCATTAAGGAAATGTACCTTTAAGTATGTTTACTGCAGCCCTGCTTGTAGCATTGGAAAATTATAAACGTAAACCTCCTCCAAGGGGGACTGGGCCAATGAATTACAATACATACACTCAATGAATATTTATCATGCAGATGTAATGCAAGTGAGACCCATCTGTGTTAACATGGAACCTGTCCAAGACGTACTAAAGGTGCAAAACCATGGAGAGCTTAATTATTCCATTTTAGGACAAACACAAAAATACATGCGTATAATTCATGATAATTTTTTAAATGTTGAGAAATATGCTCTGAACTGTTAAGGGGACTCAACTCACATATATCATATTCTTGTAATGTTTGTTTATTATTTTTTACAAAGGGTATATTACTATTGTAGGCTTAACAATACATTAAATATTTTAAAAATAAAAGAGTCTTATAAAAATACATATACTGAATCATGAGCAAAACCCAGCAGTAATGTTTGTGGATACCAAAAAAGCAGAAATGGGTAGGATAAAAGGTGGAAAACAACTGATTCATTATAAATATGATTTATGCTTTTTTTCCTTTAATAATTGAAAACTGAGATTATGATTTATTTGAGCTTCTAAAGAACACTGCTAATTCTTTACATGAAAACCAATTAATATGTAAGGCTGATCAAGAACAGTTTTAAATAAGCAGAATTTCTTAAATGAAGACACCAGCTGGGCCAGCTAGGGGCAGTCACTGTAATTAGACACAGGAAAGGCTGTGGGGTGGCAGGAGGGCCAGAACTGTGAATTCCCCTCCTACGCGTGAATCAGACAAATGACCATAAAAGGCAAACCATAACTCAGATGACAGGCAGACTCAAGGTACCAGCAATTTTTTTCTAGCCAGTTTTGAAATACTTCATTTGGGGCCTGAACACTGACCCTGTATTGCTTGATAATTTAAAAGCCTTCCAAAAAGGCAGAAAAATTGAATTAGCAGTGACAGCAGGTGACCTTGCCACCTTATCTGATGGCCTGTCTCTCCTGTAACCACCCCAAACTGGCTTCAGAGATGTTTCTTTGATGGTAAATGACATAAATATGAAAAGGTTTGAGCTCACAGTTGTTCTCTAGCTTCCTGTTTGATGCTATAAATATCCAGGAAGCTTTGTCTAGAAAAACCACCAGAATCCTGACCATATATCTTGGCCCTTTAATATTGATTTAAATCTGGAGAGGAGAAGCCATTTCAAAAAAGGTCTCCACTTGTTTCTGATCTGAACGGCATTTGGAACTTACCCAGCCAATGCAGGAAGACAATGGAAGGGAACTGCTATTAGTCTAGGACAGGGTTTCTCAGCCTCACACTCCTGACATTTGAGCTGGATAACGTTGTAGGGGGCTATCCTGTGCATTAAAGGATGTTTAGCCAGCATCCCTGTTTCTACCCACTAGATCCTAGTAGCACTCCTCACCTCCAGTTGTAATAATAAAAAAAGTCTCTAGACATTGCCAAATGTCCCCGGGGTCAAAATCAGCTGTTGAGCAGCAACCACTGGTCTAGGGCAGTGGCTTATTGACACCCTATGTAGGACAATTCTGTTTTGTGAGGCCCATCTTCCCTATCTACTCATTTAATGTAACTACTCAGCACACTGCAGGCCTTTTGGCACAGACCCTGCACCCTGGGTCACAGCAATAACCCATTCATTTCCACAAGGGCCAGGTGGAGAAATGCTGATTCAAAGTGTGGTGCTTTCTAGGACACGTGATGAGAAATAACTGAGGTTACCTCCTCTATGTAAGCCGTGGGAAGAGGCAGTCCAGCAGTGACCTGGAAGGAAAAAAAACAGAGTCAGAGGCATTTCCTATTTAAATCTCCTAGCTTAAAACGGTGCTTGTCGGCCGGGCGCGGTGGCTCAAGCCTGTAATCCCAGCACTTTGGGAGGCCGAGGCGGGTGGATCACGAGGTCAGGAGATCGAGACCATCCTGGCTAACATGGTGAAACCCCGTCTCTACTAAAAAAAATACAAAAAACTAGCCGGGCGTGGTGGCGGGCGCCTGTAGTCTCAGCTACTCGGGAGGCTGAGGCGGGAGAATGGCGTGAACCCGGGAGGCGGAGCTTGCAGTGAGCCGAGATCACACCACTGCACTCCAGCCTGGGAGCACAGCGAGACTCCGTCTCAAAAAAAAAAAAAAAAACAAAAAAAAAACGGTGCTTGTCATGTGTTAAAGGCAAGAGGCTGCAATGCTTGCAGACTGTACAGTAGTATAAGATTATTTCCTGCCCTAAGGACTTAGGGCATGTGACCAATCACACAGCACAGAACAAAAACAACTGCTTTGAGCAGCGTGGAACACCTCTATGACCTGAATTAAGCAGGTGAGAAGGACCGGATCGATGGTGGGAGAAGTGGAAAGGGGTGTACCCTAGGCAGATGCAGTGACTCATCGAGTGAAGGCCATAGCAGTGGGGTTGGGAATCAAGGGGAGTGTGGGGAAAGAGGAAGCGGTCGGGCCTGTGGAAGTCACCCTGGGATGTCTGTCGATGGAGCCTGTGATGAGCTCTGCTGTGGTTTCATGAGCTGGTCCACAATGCGAACCCAGCATTGGTGGAGCTGAACCATGGTGTAGGGTCAATACAAACAAGAGGGAAAACAATACAGAAAGATTTTCTTTCTCTTTTATAGAGTGTATCTAAAGGATGGAGATGTCTGGTGCCACCCTCCCCCTCAACGCCCCCCGGCCCCCAGTCTTGATCTATGCCATGGCTCAGCCCTGTTGCATCCACAGAATTGAGCAAGTGGGTGAAGGTGTCCATTTCATGGGCCCCACCATGGGCAGTGGATAGTGATTAGGAAGCTCCGTCCTCTCCCACTGCAGTGAGACCATGGTGCTCCAACTCCAGAAGGGGTCATGAGGAGGCAGAGCAAGAAGCAAGGACCTTACACGTAGCTTCCCGTCAGTAAGGTAATGGGAGCAGGACGCCTACTCCCTTGACAGAGTCATATGTGCAAATGTTCCCCTCCATGCACAGCATTATAGGACATTATCCTGACTGTGAGGTCAGGAGGAAGCAAGGAAAGGAGGTGCGATGGTGTGAGGGTGAGTGAGGGGTGTAAGAGAGAGGAATGTTAGTTGTGACTGGGGAAAAAAAAGGGAGTCTATTCTGCGTTACTAGCAGAAAGGGGTGTGCTGGGTTGGGAGTGCCTTTGGCACTCAGGGATAATTAAGACTGGATGGGGTGCTGGGGTTGTTATGGCAGCATTCCCAGTGTGCTCTGGGGACCCAATCCTTTGAAGGGGTCCATGAGGTCAAAACTATTTCCATAAGATTACATAACATCTTATGGCCCTTTTATTCTCATTATCATCCTCTCATTGAGCATATAATGGACTTTTCCAAATGTTATGAGACATGTGATGTCACAACAGATTAAGTGCTATCTTCAATTAAGCCGGACCCAGAGAAGATCTGAAAAATGGACAATGCCTAAATTTTGTTGGGAAAAGATAGTGCATTTTCATGTTTACAAAGTTATTTATGTTAACATGTAATTCAGTTTTAATTTCTAATGTGGTAAATATCAATAGCTATAACCCACATGAACAAAAGCTCTTTTAGGCCCTCAATAACTGTCAAGAGTGTAAAGAGGTTCTGAGGCCAAAACAGAGAACTGCTACATTAGAACAAACCCTGACCAAAAGAAATTTGATTTTTATCCTGTAGGTGAGGGAAGCCTTATTTCCTAAGTTACAATACAAGCTCCTGGTGGACAGGAATTTAATAGTTTTTCAAATGATTTCAGAAAACTAGCACCATGTCTTTTCATGTAGGACCTAAAGAAAAGGTGTTAAAATACTAGGATAAAAAGTAGAGTAGTAGGAATTTCTAAGCAGTAAGAATTCAGAGAAATACAAAATTCAGGCTGGAGGTGAGGATGAGCCAGTCTCCACCTGTTTCTCTGTTACCAGGGCAGCCCTGGGCAGATCTGTCATTCTTCTCTCCCCTGCTCCCTCCCTAGGGTGTGGAGGCCCTGTCCAGCATGAACTACTCAAGAAGGGGCTGACCTCTGTCTCAGCTAACTGGTTTGGGTGGCTGGTTGCCAGTGTCACTATACAGAGGGATGCAGATTTAAAAAGAACAGTCTGAACATAAAACAGTTTTTTGTGGGGCTAGCCAAGCACACGTCCTTGGAGGGGTTTAGATGTTGTCAGATGTCCTCCGAAAGGTAGGCCAGGCAGCCGATTTTGGCCCTCTTAAAATGCTGAGCGCTGACGGTGCCTGTGAGTGATAAGGCAGCCAACACAAGGGCTGTCTGCCCATCCCTTGCTTTTGCTGCCTATTAATCACGAGGATAAAAGCAGCTCAATGAAGAAACAGGCAGAAGTCATCCAACTTCCTTTCGGCCGTCAGCACACTGCTGATAATCAGACACTTCAACCCACTGCTCACCGTGGGGCCGCCCCCGTGCATCTTGAGAGCTCTGACAGTGGCAACAAGCACCACCACGTGAGGGCGGAGGCCGGAATACCGGCATTTGATGTTAAAAAACTTTTCCATTCCAATGTCTGCTCCAAATCCCGCTTCCGTCACTGTAAGGAGGAAAGCAACAGTAAAAATGCCATCCCAATTCCCCTGATGTTAAAAGAAATATACAGTCTATTCACTGGTTTTGCAAAAACACTAACCTACAAACCCTTCTGGTCCAACAAGCTTCAGTGCGATCCGGTCTGCAAGGATGGAGGAATTGCCGTGTGCGATGTTGGCAAACGGGCCAGCATGGACAAACACTGGAGTGCCCTGTGGAAACCAGGACACCGTGAGCTGAGCTGCCAGTCCTGCTTCAAAGTGGGATCACACACTCAAGAATATGGAATTGATTTAGAATCAGAAGGAAAAATACTTCTCAGAGGGAAAATACAAAGTCATCTCTTTTATTTTAGTAACCTCCCAGTCACAGGTGTGAGGAAGAATGAGAAGAAAGAGATGAGCAAGTGGAGAAGGTCTCGACTACCCAGGTTAAGTGTGCTTTATAACCACTCTGCTCTGACTGTCCAAAACCAATTCAAGAAGGCAGGAGTCACTCTGCTCACCTCCAATGTCTGCATGAGATTGGGCTTGATTGCATCCTTCATAAGCACTGTCAATGCACCACTCACCCCCTACGAAACAAATGTGTGCAGCGTGAACTCCCACCAGCAAAAAAACCCAACCTTCTGAAACCAATATTTGACATTCTAGGCTTACCCATGTTAGCCATCTTGGACCAACTGATACTTTCACCTGAATCAGACCATTCATGGTTTCTTTCTGGATATGCTAGGAAGTTGCCAATTATTTATTTATTTTTTTTTTGAGACAGAGTCTCGCTCTGTTGCCCAGGCTGGAGTGCAGTGGTGCAATCTCGACTCACTGCAAGCTCTACCTTCTGGGTTCATGCCATTCTCCTGCCTCAGTCTCTCGAGTAGCTGGGACTACAGGCACCCGCCACCACGCCCAGCTAATTTTTTTGTATTTTTAGTAGAGACAGGGTTTCACTGTGTTAGCCAGGATGGTCTCGATCTCCTGACCTTGTGATCCACCCGCCTCGGCCTCCCAAAGTGCTGGGATTGCAGGCGTGAGCCACCGCGCCCGGCCAAAGTTGCCAGATAGAATAAAAATGACATTCACATGTAATTTCTGGAAAAACATGTGACTCTGGAAACAAGCATCTTTATCAAGCTCTGCTGCTGACTGATGTGAGAAATCCATTCTAGACTCGGTTAAAGCATGGCAATGCTTGTTCCTAGAGTACTCAGTTATTTGTAACTCTGGTATCTGGGCAGAAATTTCTATAAATACCAAACTCAATATGTGTCTTCCAAAGCTGAAACTGCAATATTACGCAAGAGTTCAATACCAACTTTTAACATCAGGTCACTCTATTAAGCCATCAAAGTGTAGCTGAACTAACTAGCAACAAAGATAAAGCAATGGTACTCTTGATGTTCTCTGCAAATTGAAGTCATACGCCCACTTTTAGAGATGCCCACAGGATGAAGATGTTACTCAAATCACCTGGACTTGTGATCTATTAGTAAAGCATACCACCTATTATTCACTCTGATGTACTTTTTAAACATTTCATAATTATCTTGGAATTAGCAAAATAGGATTAAACTGATGAGTTAATTGCAATGTCTTAAGTACAGCGTTAAATTCTGTTATTAATAACTGCTGAAAGACCCTAGGACAACAGATACAGATATGTCACCAAGCCTGGCATGCCTGGGTACCTACCAGATCTTCAGCACTGACGGGCTCCCCTTTCTTACTGGATGCCACCACCATTTTGCCCAGTCTCTCTCTCATGTCTTCTAGAGAAGTGGTGAGAGCCAGCACAGCCATAATTTCACTGGCCACAGAGATATCAAACTGGGCCTGTGGGCAGGGAAAAGAGGCACTAGCAAAAACTGTGTGTTAAACCAGAAGTGTGAATTGCAAGTGATCCTTTTTTACATCTGAGGCTTAAACAAATAGCTTAAAAGGATAGAATAACAGAATACTACCCAAAATATTTAATGAACATAATCTTCTAATAGCAAAAAATATTAATTAATTATTCCAAGACCCTGAGTTGTCAATTTTTTTTTTTTTTTTTAGACAGAGTCTCATTCTGTCGTCCAGGCTGGAGTACAGTGGCACAATCTCGGCTCAATGCAACGTCCACCTCCCGGGTTCAGGCAATTCTCGCACCTCAGCCTCCCAAGTAGCTGGGATTATAGGCACATGCCACCATGCCCAGCTAATTTTTGAATTTTTTTGTTAGAGACGGGGTTTGGCCAGACTGATCTCGAACTCCTGACCTCAAGTGATACGCCCGCCTTGGCCTCCCAAAGTGCTGGGATTACAGGCGTGAGCTACCACACCCAGCCCTGAGTTGTCAATTTTTTTAAATAAATGTTACAGTAGGACCAAAAAGCTACGATTTTATCATGGCCGCTTATAATCATGTGCTTATTGTTTTCTTCATATACAAGGGAACAATATGGTACCTCTTAAACCAAGGAGATATACAGTGAAATGGCTACAAAAAAGAAGCAATTTTAATCAATTTCTATGCAAGGATATTCACTTGGGGCTCTCCACCTCCAGGAAAAAATGCTGGGGGAAAAACACACAGGTGACACATGGGATTTATTGCAAAAGCTGTCAGGAGTGCTCAATGCCACACACCTACTCACTTCCATTTTAAAAGGGAGAAGGCAGAACAACACCTGGCAGTATCAATCGTATGAGAGAGGATGGAGGAGGAGAGAAGCAGCAAGATCTAGTGCCTCCGAACTAATTTCCTTGGAAAGGGACAAATTGTTACCGTCCGTGTGTGACCCTTCTCCGTTGGAGCCTGTCCAATCGTGATCTTCCTCAGGAATCTATCATTGGTATCCAACACTATAGCAGACAGGCAAAATATAGAACGATTTTGAGTAAAAGGACCACAAAGTTAAAGGAAGCAGCAGAGTTTTAAAGCAATAAGTCTAATTGCATTATTGTCTATCAATATTTGATCTCAAAATGGATGGCAAAGCTAGAATATGTGTTAAAGTTAAGAAATGATGTTCATATACCATAAATACACAGGAGTTATTTTTAAAGCAAAGGAATGTGGAGTGGCTTGGTTTTATTCCATCTAGAGAATTCAAACAGTTAACTAGAAATCTGGAATCTATTTTAAAGCATATTCCACATATAAGAAAAACAGAGCAGTCTACATTTTTTCAAAAGACTGAGGTTTGTGTTGTTGTTCTGTGGGATGATGACTCATTGACTTTCCACCACCGTAAGAAACACAGGAGCCATCAAATCAGGGCAAGTGCAAATATCTTTTGAAACATGCTGGGTGCCAGTCCTGGTCTGGAAATTTAGGAAACATAGCACACTTAACAGAGATAATTTCTATTCTGATGACAGAATATCTATCCAATTGTATAACCACGAAAAACATGGCAAAGATCAAGCAACTAACCAACTAACGACTTCCCAGGACTAACTACTGTTAACATTTTAGTGTACCCTCAGTTCTGGTTTTTTGTATGTGTAGTGTAATAGGAAATATATTTGACCTTTGCCATGGGTTCCTGACACAAGGCTCATAGAGCTCTTGGAATTCCAAGGGTGATAGGAGTGTCTTATTATTCATTACAAACTTCTTTTGATCACACCTGAGTTTATGGTAATAAGTGACTTATGGTAGGTCTCCTAGACAGCCTCAGGAAAGGACTGGTCACCAAAAAGAACAAATGATTAGAGGACTGGAACTTTCAGTCCCACCCACCAACCTCTGGGTAAGGTATTAGGGGTGTATATTACTCTTGAACAGGCTGGGCGTGGTGGCTCACGCCTATAATCCCAGCACTTTGGGAGGCCAAGGTGGGCAGATCACCTGAGGTCAAGAGTTTGAGAATAGCCTGACCAACATGGAGAAACCCTGTCTCTACCAAAAATACAAAATTAGCCGGGCATGGTAGCACATGCCTGTTAATCCCAGCTACTCAGGAGGCTGAGGCAGGAGAATCACTTGAACCTGGGAAGCAGAGGTTGCGGTGAGCTGAGATCACTCCATCGCACTCCAGCCTGGGCAACAAGAACGAAACTCTGTCTCAAAAAAAAAAAAAAAAGACAGAGCCAAACTACAGCTCGTCTCAAAAAAAAAAAAAAAATTCCTGAACAACATTTGATGAGCCTCTGGGCTGGTGAACACATCCAGGTGCTGGGAGAGTGATGCACCCTATGCTTCTCTTCCATCTGGTTGTTTCTGAGCTGTATCCTTTATAATAAACCATAAACACAAGTGAAATGCTTCTCTGAGTTCTGTGAACCATTCTAGGAAATGAACCTGAGCAGGGGATTGTGGGGACCCTCCAGTTCATAACCAGTTGGTCAGAAGCACAGGTGACAACCTGGATTTGCGATTCGTGTGTGAAGTGGGGCAGTCTTGTAGGACTAAGCCCTTTACCTATAGGATCTGCTCCAGACAGTTAGTATCAGAATTGAGTTAAATCACAGGATACTCAGTCAATATCCACTGGAGAAGTGAAAGTTGAATTGTTGTGGAAGAGAAAAACTACCCATCTGGTGTCAGAAGTGAGGTACTGAGAGTACTATGAGTATGGAGAGGAAACAGGAGTTGCCATTTCAGTATCAAATGCCAAACAATATCAAAGAAACACAAAATGAAATTGATCCATATTCCTATTAATAACATCATTGTTGATGGCTGAATATGTTTTAGAACAGAGTTTTTCATCTTAGAGACTGGTGAAGAAGTGTGAGGATGTGAGAAGCTCACAGAGTACAAATTTGCCTATATATTTTGTGGGTTTTTATTCCTCTCAAGATGTTTTCTATTTCAAAATTAAAATAATTTCGAAGTAAAACACACACACACACACACACACACACAATGAACAAAAAAACCCAGTTCATACTCTAAATGAGTCAAGGAGGAGAAGCATTTTTAAGACACTTGATAACATGCCAAATTATTTTCCATAAAGACTATCATAATTTCATACCAAAAGCAGTGTCTTATATAGCAATCAGACACACACACACGCCCCACTCTTACTGTAATGTGTTGTTAGAGCCAACCCTTATTTTTGAAAAGAAAAAAGTATCAGGTTTCATGTAACTAATATTTCTGTAAAAAATAGCCAGTCAATAGGTATGACTGCCTCTAGTTTCTTAGAAAACATGAATGAGACACAGAGCAAAAGAAAAGTAAATCGGATACTAAATCTTCAAAATGGACTTTTAGCTTATTCCTTATAAAATATTATACCATTTGTCTAAAGCTATTGAAGCAAAGGCAGAGAAATTCCTGTGTGGTTTTAGACGTTGAGAGTGTCATCTAAAAAATGCCATTAGCTAGCAACAGTTATTGAGTCAAGGAAAATCACAAAAACGGTCAATAAATTGGCCTTCAGCTGCATTCTGCATGAGGGGATGAAGATTCCTTCTCAATAGTGATACAGAATAGAAAGCTGCATTGTTGATGCAAAGTAAAATCTAAGCTACACTAGTTGTGCATTGAGAAAAGTAACATATGGCAGTGAAGCCAGGCAACCTACTTACTAAATTGGTAAGTAATTAAACCTTGAAGGCTACCTAATATATTATAAGAGAATTTAATAAAATGAGGTAAAAAAATGATTAGGTAGGCCGGGTGCAGTGGCTCATGCCTGTAATCCCAGCACTTTGGGAGACCGAGGCGGGCAAATCACAAGGTCAAGAGATTGAGACCATCCTGGCTAACACAGTGAAACCCCGTTTCTACTAAAAATACAAAAAATTAGCCAGGCGTGGTGGTGGGCGCCTGTAGTCCCAGCTACTCGGGAGGCTGAGGCAAGAGAATGATGTGAACCTGGGAGGTGGAGTTTGCAGTGAGCCGAGATTGTGCCCAGCCTGGGCAACAGAGGGAGACTCTGTCCCAAAAAAAAAAAAAAAAAAAAAATTAGGTAAGCTAGAGAACTACAGAAAAAATCAAGTCATTTATGCCACACAAGAGTTCTAAGAATAAAAGTCCCACATGATTCAAGAAGTGATTAAACATAATTTCTCTACTTCATGACACCAAAACTTTTTGCATAAAATTAAATTTGTAAAATGTTAGTTTTGGTTTAACTACCCTAATTTCAGTCAACACTGAATAGCCAGCAAAATGTTCGACCAATCCAATGAAGAGAGATTTGATGACAGCTAATAAGGAGAGATACTGAGAGGTGGCAAGAAAAAGAAATAATGTCACCATCTTAGTCATGCCTTAGCTGGTAAAATACCAACATGGAAGCTTCTGAGCTTCACATTTTAACAACTATTCTGGAGGGTGTGGGGTGTGCAATATAGTCAAAACAAACGGGATTTGTATACTGCTCTGGTACCTCTTTGCCAAGTTATGGTTTCTGGATCAATGTCCAATCTTGCAAATCTGTTTATCTCTTCATCTGTCAGTGTGGTAGGGTCAGTCTTTTCAATGCCTAGTCTCTGAAAGGGTAGGAAAATGAAAACATAAAATAAGACAAAGAGAAGCACAATAAATGTAAAACAAAAATTTTGATCTCTAGCTCTAAATGGGATCCCCTCTAGGAAATGCAAACCATCTTGAATTCAGAAGGAAAAACTGAAAGCTGGGGGTTATTTCCCACTGTCAACCTAAAAAAAGACATTACAAAAAATTATCTCCAAGTAGGTTGAGTTTATTCAGGAATGAGAGATGAGGATTATAACTTGGGATGCCACAAATATGCCTAGTGAGGGAAGGGAAGCTTTTACTAGCCATGAAGGCGAGCTTTGGCTGGGTGTGGTGGTTCACGCCTGTAATCCCAGCACTTTGGGAGGCCGAGACGGGCAGATCACCTGAGGTCAGGAGTTCGAGATCAGCCTGGCCAACATGGTGAAACCCCGTCTCTACTAAAAAATACACAAATTAGCTGGGCATGGTGGTGGGTGACTGTAATCCCAGCTACTTGGGAGGCTGAGGCAGGAGAACTGCTTGAACCCAGGAGGTAGAAGTTGCAGTAAGCCGAGATCATGCCACTGCACTCCAGCCTGGGTGAGACTCCATCTCAAAAAAAAAAAAAAAAAAAAAAAACAGGAGAGAGAGAGCTTCATGTAGTCTGCTTAGAAACAGAGTTCAGGTCGAGGCTACAGTGAGCCATGATTGTGCCACTGCACTACAGCCTGGGTGAAAGAGCAAGACCCTGTCTCAAATAAAAAATAAAATAAAATAAAAAATACAGAATTCATCACTCCCAGAAGCTCAAAGCAGAGTTGTCAATTCATTGGTGCAGCTGCCGTTACTGCAAAAGCATCCTTTCAAGAGCATCTTATCTGAATTACTCCCATCCTAAAGAATGTCTAGTGGTAAGTCTTGTCATGGAAACATAAGTATACATTTGAAACGTGCAAGCTGTGCAAAGCAGGAGATGTGTGAAGGATGTGAAGGGATTTCTTGTGGGGTTTTATGAAGTCATTGGAAACAATTTTTGCTCTTTCTTTTTGAGACGAGGTCTCATTCTGTCACTTAGGCTAGATTATAGTGACCCAATCATAGCTCACTGCAACCTTGAACTTTTGGGTTCAAGGGATGCTCCTGCCTTAGCCTCCCGAGTAGCTGGGTGTAACTACAGGTGCATGCCCACACCTGGCTCATTTTTAAAATTTTTTGTAGAGACGAGGTTTTGCTTCATTGCTCAGGCTGGTCTCGAACTCCTGGGCTCAAGTCATCCTCCTGCCTTGGCCTCTCAAAGTGCTGGGATTACAGGCCTTGCAAACAGTTCTTATCACAGACATGTAAGTGTGAGCCTCTTCTTCTTCGTGTCTTCCCAGCCCTGTTTTTTCTGGGTCTGACAAAAGTGATTTTATCCCAATATCTGCAAATTCACATTACTCACACACGTACAAAGGTATTATTAACATGTTTGTCCCTATAACTGAGCGGCAGATTTCCCTAAGCCTAGACCTAAATAATCACAGTATCATAGTGACCAAGAAGTGTTGTAAAACACAAGTCCAATTTTTTTTTTTTTTGAGACAGAGTCTAGCTCTGTCACCCAGGCTGGAGTGCAGTGGGGCATCCTCAACTCACTGCAACCTCCGCCTCCCAGGTTCAAGCGATTCTCCTGCGTCAGTCTCTTGAATAGCTGGGACTACAGGCATGCAGCTGCACGCCCAGCTAATTTTGTATTTTTAGTAGAGACGGGGTTTCTCCATGTTGGTCAAGCTGGTCTCAAACTCCTGACCTCAGGTGATCCGCTTGCCTCGGCTTCCCAAAGTGCTGGGATTACAGGTGTGAGCTACCATGCCCAGCCTCCTCATTTCTTAAAAAAAAGAAAAGAAAAGAAAAGAAAAAAGCTGGGCTCAGTGGTTCATGCATGTAATCCCAGCACTTTGGTATGTCAAGGTGGGCAGATTGCTTGAGCCCAGGAGCTTGAGACCAGCCTGGGCAACATGGCAAAACCCGGTCTCTACACAATATATAAAAATCTCGGCATGGTGGTACCTGGCTGTAGTCTCAGCTACTTAGTTGGCTGAGGTGGGAGAATCACTTGAGTCCTGGAGGTTGAGGCTGTAGTGAGATGTGATTGCACCACTGCAATACAGCCTGGGTGACAGAGTAAAACCTTGCTCATGCCTGTAATCCCAGCACTTTGGGGGGCCAAGGCAGGTGGATCACCTGAGGTCAGGAGTTCAAGACCAGCCTGGACAACATGGTGAAACCCTGTCTCTGCTAAACATACCAAAATTAGCTGGGCATGGTGGCAGGTACCCGTAACCCCAGCTATTCAGGAGGCTGAGGTAGGAGAACTGCTTGAACCTGGGAGGTGGAGGTTGCAGTGAGCTGAGATCACGCCATTGCACTCCAGCCTGGGAGACAGAGTGAGACTCTGTCTTAAACAAACAAACAAACAAAACCAATACCTTTTTGAAAAATTAAAAAACAGAAAACAAAACAAAAACAAAAAATCCCTTGTGGCCAGACGTGGTGGCTCACGCCAGTAATCCCAATACTTTGGGAGACTGAGGCAGGACCATTGCTTGAAACCAGGAGTTTGAGACCAGCCTGGGCAACATGGTGAGACAAGGTCTCTACAAAAAATAAAGTAAAAAATTAGCCAGGTGTGGTGGTGTGTGCACCTATAGTCCCAGGTACTCAGGAGGCTAAGGTGAGAAGATTGCTTGAACCTGGAAGGTGGAAGCTTTAGTGAGCTGTGATTGTGCCTCTGCACTCTAGCCTGGGTGACAGAGAGAGACCCTGTCTCAAAAAAGAAAACAAAAAACAAAACAAAACACCTCTCTTTTGCTATTCCTTTACGGTCATACCCTCGCTTCATCCATACCCTTAGCATCTATTGATCTGTTCCCTAGCACTATAATTTTCTCTTATTGAGAATATCATACAAATGGAGTCATGCAATATGCAAGCTTTTGAGACTGGCTTCTTTCGCCCAGCATAAATTCATCCAAGTTGTTGCTTGTATCAATAGCTCATTTATTTTTATTGTATGGATGTACCAGTTTGTTTATTTATTCATCCATTGAAAGACATTTAGATTAGTCCCAGTTTTGGGAAATTATTAATAGAGCTGCTAAAAACATTAATGTACAGATTTTTATGTGAACAGAGATTTATTTTGGGTGAGATTTCTGGGTCAGGTGGTATGGTGTATGCTTACTAACTGTATATTTGTTACAGAAATTCAAATAACATATAGATATAACCACGCTTTTAACTGTTTAACACAGACCCTTACCTATTCAGGGGAAGGCAAGTATTATTTTACAGACGAGTAAACAGAGAAACAAGTCATTTAACAAATTTGCTTAAGGTCCCAATGATGCAAACTCCAAAGGCTGCTACGCTGCCACAGTGGCATCCTGACTCTTGTTCATGTTATAAAGGAAGTGTCGTTTTTTTCTGAGCTGAGGGCAGGTTGTCAGTGTTCTATTGATTCCACACTAGCCACTTCTAATCTATAGATAAATGAGAAATAACCTCCACCATCAATCTTTGCTATGTATATCACGACTTTAAGACTATGATTACTGATATAACTTCATCTAAAATAGGCTACTCCAAGAAGACTTTTATGTCCTAATCAATGATCAGATTCCAGATTCCACACAATATAAAAAATGTGGAAGAAAAAAAGCTTACCTTTAACCTTCGGATTTGGATATCAGAGAACTTTCTCACTCCATTTACTGATGGCACCAAACGATTAAAGAGAGCCTTAAAGAAAAGAAAGGGGCTTTAAAATGAGAGGAACCCCATTGCCTTGCTACCTGCATCCTCAGCACCCAAGAGACCAACACTAATTCAGATGGTTCAATACTTTCAAAAGTGTTCAATGGGATTCATGGGGCTTTGGCATCCTACCTTGTCTGTCTGGGTCAGTTCATGAAATATCCGAGCATCAATGGCCGCAGCAACGAGGTTATTAGCTGCAGTGATGGCATGGATGTCACCTGTGAGATGGAGATTAAACTACAAAAGAACAGAAGCCACATTAGTCTCCCAGCTGCTCTGTATCTTTCCAACTTTCATTCTATTGCAAAGCTCAATCCCTATTTTAAAGCCAATAGAATACTGAAGGCAGCCCAGCTAGTGGACAAACACCCAATACAGGGAGTTCTTGAAAACATAAATGACTGGCTGGGCATGGTGGCTCACAACTATAATCCCAGCACTTTGGGAGGCTGAGGTGGGCAGATCACTTGAGGCCAGAAGTTCAAGACTACCCTGGGCAACATGGTGAAACCCCATCTCTACTAAAAACACAAAAATTAGCCAAGTGTGGTGGTGCGCACCTGTAATCCCAGCCACCTGGATGGCTGAGACAGGAGAACCTGGGAGGCGGAGGTTGCAGTGACCCAAGATCACACCACTGCACTCCAGCCTGGGCCACAGAGGGAGACTTTGTCTCAAAAAAAAGAAAACATAAATGACCAATTATCTATCTGCAGAAGAATCTCCTCCCAAATACAGAACTTGCAGCTTTTCCAAAATGAGATGTCCAGAGACCACAAATACCACACCACTGGGATCAACAGCAACACTGGCTTACTGAGGACACACCTTGAAACAGCGAGGAGAAGTGCACGGGAGCAGCACTAACTCTATGTCTATGCACTGTTCCTATTTCTGCTGTTACATAAATGAATTCTGAATTCGCTATGTGTTGGTGCTTCCCAATACCATGCTTCATTTGGTGATTTGCTTATAATGATCATTCCCACTGAAAGCCAAAGTTTGAAACCAAGCTGTATCACAAGTCTACAAATAAAGTTGTTTTCCCCCTAGGTGTTGCTTCTGCTGGGAAACAAGTCATTTGTCCACTAAGAGCTCTACAAAAAAGGCTAATTTCCAGAGAGAAAAAGCTATAATAAAGAATCTAGGCTGGGCGTGGTGGCTCATGCCTGTAATCCCAGCACTTTGGGAGGCCGAGGCGGGCGGATCACGAGGTCAGGAGTTCAAGATTAGCGTGGCCAACTCAGTGAAACTCCGTCTCTACTAAAAATACAAAATTAGCTGGGCGTGGTGGTGTGCCTGTAATCCCAGCTACTCCGGAGGCTGACGCAGGAGAATTGCTTGAACCTGGGAGGCAGAGGTTGCAGTGAGCCGAGATCGTGCCACTGCACTCCAGCTCTGGGCAACAGAGCAAGACTCCATCTTGGGGAAAAAAAGGCATCTAATTCAGCCAAAGAGAAAAAAGAAAAAAAAAAAGGATCTAATTCAGCCAAATCCCAAAATACTTTACCTCTTCCATAGGAATGACCTGGGAGTAACCTCCTCCTGCAGCGCCACCTAGGGGACAGGTCAAGGGTAGGGACTCAGTTAAGCATGCTTCTCCAATGACAGAAATCAAATAAATGCAAATGCATTATTGCAACTACTAAGCACATTTATTTATTTACCTTTTACAATCATTTGGACAGTTCTGATCAAGTGTTTTCTAATACTAAGTAGTTTCTCAATTGAAATTTGAGTTTAAATGACAAAACCATGAACAAATATATACCTACTCATTATCTTTAGAAATAGGTTCCTTGTGATTATCGGCATGTGTTAAAACACCCAGCTGACAGTTACATAAAGGCAAACCTGTTCAATTTCCTACTCTCATAAAGCTTCTTTGGCTTTTAAAACAGAAATATTTAAAGTACATACACCTAACACAAAGACTGCAATTTTTCCTAAATAGAGATATATTTCCTAAATAGATATAAATAGATTAGGCTGTTAGAAAGCAGCCTGATTGCTAGATTTATACTTGGATTACAGGTTGAGTATCCCTTATTTAAAATGCCTGGATTTTGGTTTTGGATTTGGGTTTTTGTTTTTCAGATGTTGGAATATTTGCATCATAATGATCCAGCATCCCAAATCCACGACTTAAAATCTGAAATGATCCAATGAGCATATCCTTTGAGCATCGTGTCAGCACTCAAAAAGTTTAGAATTCTGGAGCCTTTCAGATTTCAGGTTTCTAGATTTCTGATGCTCAATCTGTATTAGCCAAAAGTCAGTTAAAGATGTCCAGGACACCAAGCATGGCTGCTCATGCCTGTAATTCTAGCCTGGGAGATCAAGGTTGCAGTGAGTTATGATCATGCCACTGCATTCCAGCCTGAGCTGGGACTCCAGACAGAACAAGACCGTGTCTCAAAAATGTCCAGGTTACCACGTTATCAGTGCAATAAATGTAAATCAGATATATATATATATTTTTAGACAGAGTCTCATGCTGTCTCACAGGCTGGAGGGTAATGGGTTGGGATTACAGGCACGTACCACCATGCCCAGCTAATTTTTGTGTTTTTAATAGAGACAGGATTTGCCATGTTGGCCTGGCTGGTCTCGAACTCCTGGCCTCAAGTAATATACCTACCTTGCCCTCCCAAAGTGCTGGGATTTCAGGCATGAGCCACTTCACCCAGCCCAGAGATTTATTAATATGTATTTCATTTTTGTGAGGCAGAGACCGTGCAGTGAGGCAATTTGCAATAAGAGTAAAAGGAAAATAAAGAGTTCAATAAGCAGAATAAGGAATAGCTCGTGCTGAAGTTGAAAGGGGGTTAAGACAAGCTCAAGAGCAGAACTAAGTGATTACATTTATAAAACAGGTGGAAGGGTAGGCTGGGAACGGTGGCTCACACCTATAATCCCAGCATATTGGGAGGCCGAGGCAGGCAGATCATAAGGTCAGGAGTTCAAGACCAGCCTGGCCAACATAGTGAAACCCCATCTCTACTAAAAACACAAAAATTATCCAGACATGGTGGCATGCACCTGTAGTCCCAACTACTCGGGAGGCTGAGGCAGAAGAATCGCTTGAAACCAGGAGGCAGAGGTTGTAGTGAGCCAAGATCATGCTACTGCACTCTAGTCTGGGCAGAAGAGCGAGACTCCATCTCCAAAAAAAAAAAAAAAAGGTGGAAGGGTGAAGGTGTACCCCGTGTCAACATTTGCAGTAATTGCTAAAACAAGCAAAATTTGATGCCCTGTCACCAAGCAGAGAAAGCTAACTCTAAGAACCTATCATAATTAATAAAAATTATTTTAATTAAGATAGCAGCTTGGCATGGTGGCTCATGCCTATAGTCCTAGCAATTTGGAAGGCTGAGACAGGCAGATCACTTGAGGTTAGAAGTTCAAGACCAGCCTGGCCAAAATGGTGAAACCCCATCTCTACCAAAAATATAAAAATTAGCCAGGCATGGTCGTGCACACCTGTAATCCCAGCTACTTGGGAGGCTGTGGCAGAAGAATCTCTTGAATCCAGAAGGTGGAGAGGTTGCAGTGTGCCGAGATCGCACCACTGCATTCCAACCTGGGCGACAGAGTGAGTGAGACCCTGTCTCAAAAAAAAAAAAAAAACAAAAAACAAAAAAAACACATGTTCGTAGTACCGCAGCAATAAAAATCTGAGGGTAAAGTATGAGTATGGTACTAGCTTAGAACTTGAAATAGACATGGAAGAATCACTCTGGTACTTAATACAGGTGCCTTTGACCAAGCCACCTCTGAAGTCCCAGTTGCTGCTACTGTAAAATGGTGACAATACTATCTTGTACTGGATGATAAAATAAAATGCAAAAACTGGTCAGCACAATATCTGGCACAAAGCATATATTCAATAAGGGTAGGCTTTTCTTATTTTCAACAAAGTGAAACATCTGTGGGGTTTGTCATTGTCTCTAGAGTATCCGTAAGATGATCAGTAGCTATGATTACCTTTATTGTTACTGTGGCAGTGAACTATGAGGGTCAAATAAAAGCACCCCCAGCTACATATCACCCATCCCAGAGAATCCCTGTGCAGTGGCAAACAGTGACAGCAGGAGCTGGGGAGATCCAATGACAGCCTTCATCAAAAGCATAGTCACAGTGGTTTGTGAGAATGACATTTCTGGTGCTGAAATGAGTCGAAACCTCATAAGTATCATAGGTCACGTGGGCCTGGGAGGACTGAAGGAGAAGCAGGTCCCCTGTCATCACCCACGGTCCAGTCTCACTAGTACCTTTTATTCCAAAGGTGGGACCCTGAGATGGCTGTCGCACACATGCAAAGACGTTCTGGTAGAGATGGGCACCAAGGGCTTGCACTAGCCCAATTGTAGTTGTGCTTTTCCCTTCTCCCAGGGGTGTTGGAGTTATTCTTCAAGATGAAAGCAAAAGAGAAAAAGTTTAAAGAATTAAGTGAAGTGTATCTGAATCACTAAGTCACACCTAGCAGACCCTAGAGAATGACTCGTAATCTAAAGATTAAGAAAAACAAAGTGATGCATAGCAGTGTATGCCTGTAGTCCCAGCTATATAGGAGGCTGAGGCAAGAGGATCACTTGAGCCCAGGAGTTCCAAGCTACAGTAAGCTATGACTGCACCACTGCACTCCAGCCTGGGCAACAGAGCAAAACTCCATCTCTTAAAGTAAAAAAAAGAAAGAAAAGACAAAGAAAAAGAAAGACAAAAGCCCTGAAAGACATCTTTTTCAAGAGTCTTAGTTGTAATTTCCAAAAAACTTTAAGAAAAAAAAATGATTCCTGTATTTTAGCTCTTCTTGCTGTAAGAAGCAAATATACTTTATCTTATAGAGACACAGCCATAATTTTAATTTCTCATTTTATATTCAGGCCAGGCACAGTGGCTCACACCTGTAATCCCAGCACTTTGGAAGGCCGAGGTGGGTGGATCACCTGAGTTTGGGAGTTTGAGACCAGCCTGACCAACATGGAGAAATCCCTGTCTCTACTAAAAATACAAAACTCGCCGGGCATGGTGGCGCACACTTGTAATCCCAGCTACTCAAAAACTAGCTTTTTAATATAACCTCAGTCCAGCAATAAAAATGAGTGCTTAGTAGATCCATTGAATTAATGAATTTTGGGTTCAAAAAGGTGATTCTGGCCGGGGGCGGTGGCTCACGCCTGTAATCCCAGTACTGTGGGAGGCTGAGGTGGGTGGATCACAAGGTCAGGAGTTCGAGACCAGTCTGGCCAACATAGTGAAACACAGTCTCTACTAAAAATACAAAAATTAGCTGGGCGTGGTGGCTCACACCTGTAGCCCAGCTACTCAGGATGCTAAGGCAGGAGAATCGCTTGAACTCGGGAGACAGAAGTTGTGGTGAGCCGAGATCATGCCACTGCACTCCAGCCTGGGCAACAGAGCAAGACTCTATCTCAAAAACAACAACAGCAACAACAACAACAAAAGGTGATTCTATCTTAAGACCGGGTTTTAAGACCAAACTTTTCCACTTACCAGATGGATAACTTTGACCAATTTTCTCATCTATGATTATCATCTATTCTTACCTACCTCTCAGGATTGCTGTAAGGATCAAATGAGATCAAATATGGGTGAAAATGCTAAAATCAAATTAAAGGCACCTCTACATACATGTGCAAAGTGCAAATGCAACACCTGGTATGAACGATCAGGACTGATAGGAAGATTTGGATGGCAACATGAATAAAAACCATACCCAGTCACCACCACGTATTTCCCATCAGGCCGGTGCCTCAGGCGCTCTAGTGCTGACAGCAGAACTTTGGCCTTTGTTTCACCATATAATTCTACCTCTTCAGACAGCAGACCAATTTCTCGAGCCAGCTTACCAATGGGCTTCAGTTTACAAGATCGTGATATATCAATGTCACTTTGGAAATATAGAAAATAGGTATTAATGTTTATCCACTGAGTTTAATTAATCCCACAGTAGTAACAAGCCCCCAACCCAACCCCAACCACCGATGGCGCCTTCAGAGGGAGCATATGTGCACCCACAGTATCTTTCAACTAAAAACGAACAATTCACAAAGTTTTAAATCAGTAAAATTTTATTTTTACCTTGGAACAGGTGTCTTGAGGTTAAGGTTGTTATACTCAATCATCCACTTTCCTGGCTTAAATTTCTCCAGGAAACGCTTGGCACTCTCTACTGTGCTCTAAACAAAATGAAATAAATGAAACTTAGAAGAGGTGGTTATTTTAATCCTCACCTCAGTTTCAAGCTCCAGGTCACTCCAGTTCAATCACAAAATGAACTGCTTCACACCCACTTATTACCATCCTTCCATCTGAGGTCAGAGTCAACAGGCACCTAACATGCTTTGGGGCTGCTTGCCTGGCCCCTGTCAGCTGGTGCATGTTAGAAAGGCAAAGCAGGCCAGGCGCAGTGGCTCACACCTGTAATCCCAGCACTTTGGAAGGCCGAGGTGGGTGGATCACCTGAGTTTGGGAGTTTGAGACCAGCCTGACCAACATGGAACATGTGGAGGAATATCCTCCGTCTCTACTAAAAATCAAAACTTGCCGGGCATGTGCGCGCACACCTGCCTAATCCTAGCTACCAGGAGGCTGAGGCAGGAGAATTCAATTGAACCCGGGGAGGCGGGAAGTTGGTGTGATCCGAGATTCGCACCATTGCACCCCAGCTTTGGCGCAACACAGGAGGAAAAAGATCCGTCTCAAAAAAAAAAAAAAAGAGGCCCGGGTGCGGTGGGCTCAAGCCCTGTAATCCATGCCACTTTGGGAGGCCGCAGGATGGCGCCGGATCAGAGGTCAGGAGATCGAGTGCTCTAGTCCTCGGCGTAAACGGTGAGCAACCCCGTCTCTCTTAAGAAAGTACAAAAAATAGCCGGGCGAGGATTGGCCAGCGCCTGTAGTCCCAGCTACTCGGGAGGGCTGAGTGCCGTGAGAATGCGCCGTGAAACCCGGGAGGCGGAGCTTGTCAGGAGCCGGAGATCCGGGCCATTGACTCCAAGCGCTGGTGCGGCAGAGCGAGACTCCGTCTCAAAAAAAAAAAAAAAAGAAAAAAAAAGGAAGCGCACACCAAGAAACAGGACCTGCCCCCAAACTGCCCTGCGATTCTAAGAACTATGCAATCTCCATCCATTGTGTCTCTCCGTGTCTCAATTTGATCATTAGTTATTCTCTCACTTCCCCCAGGCACTTCAATATCCTTCCCACTTGCGGCCTCAGCCTTTGTGTGCATCATCTTACATTTTCTCCTATCATGAACTGGTCATCATCTGGTGGTGTCCGACTTTTTCTTTTCGCCTCTTAAAATTCATGACTTTATCACTCTTCAAAGCAAGCAAGGCGAGCATTGGCAGGTATATTTCTTTAATAGCGCACTGTTCTATCTATCCTATCGCATTTTTCCCTTCTATTATATATATATCGCTCCGCCTGGCCAACTGAATTCCATTATTAGTTCCTATAACCGCATTCTTTTGTCCACATACTTCCCCTTTTTATTTTCTCACATCGTAAATTCACTGTAATCATTTTAACTTATACGGTTATTTCTCTGAGATGTAAGATTGTTGAAATATTCACATTTAATTCTACTCATTTATGCTTTTAGTTCAGGAGTAAGCGACGAACAAGGCAGCTTCTAAAACCTCTTAGACTCAAGAATTTTCAGAACTTCTTACAGAAATCTTTTATTCACAAGTACTCTTGACATTAATTTTAAGCAGATGACGTTCATTGTCTTCTCTTCAGTATACCGGTCTATGGTCCTCTTACACGTCTACCGCTACTTTATGAGGACTAGTTGAGTGTGTATGATATAAGCTATATTGCCCTTCTCTTTCTGGCCTCGTCGAATCAATTGTTCCACCCAAAAAACATCACCCCACTGAAAATCTATTCTAGCCCCATTTGTTTTAATCATACTGTATGTTATGAAGAGAGAGAGAGTACTGGTTGCGATGAAATCTCCCAACAGCTATTAGCCCTATGAATGTCATACAGAATCTACAAGGACATCAAAAATGCTGGCATATGAGAATTGCAACTCAAGTTGCTGCAAGTGTAGATCAGTTAATGTACTGTGTGCACAAAAAGCCTCCGAGGACAAATAGTTCTCTATGGGAGTCTCTGAGTGGTGAAGCTTTCGGCTCTGTGTCCTCGTGACGGACATCGCCGCACCCTACTTAACTTAAAAGCTATGGAGGTCTCCGATGACATAATGCTTTGGCTAGCTTTCTTAGGAGTAACACCTTCTTCATATGAGGATTATTAGAACGCTGTTCTTCTCTCGGCTCAGTTCTAGCACTTTCTCTGAATTGTTGTCATATAGAAAGTCTTCCTGCCAAGATTGCTCATACAGTGGAATTTAATTCGAACCCTAGATTTTGGACTCCTACTATTGTGAGGCTTCTCTCACGGTGTACACACAATAAGCCAAATATCAACTGCTATGTTTTATTCATATAAATAACTCACTCAGATGCCGGGTCTAAATATAAATATAAAACGAAGCAGCAACGTTTAGAAATGCTATTCAGCCAAAGACTACAAAGGGAAACCATTATGTTATTTTTGGAGTGCACGAAAGCTCCACACAACTCTGTCACAGCTGCCACATTATCGTTTCTACAGCCAATCTGTCCATATGCGATTTTGTGAGGTCCATGTGTGAGGCTGGAGGGGAACAATCTCGACATCAATTCCAAAGACAGCGCTACTTTAAATATGGTTATGCATAATATAGCACGCGAAGAAAGGCATTAAAGTGATAGCAACTTCCCTTAAAGAGACACAAGAACCAACGTACAAATCTTACAGCAGAGAAAAGCTATTTCAAGAGAACAAAGAACCCAGGTAGATGTATCATTG